CATTAAGAAATACAATGTGAGTCACACCACCCAGACACTGCATTTCTATAATGGGCAGCCGGGCAAGCAGGAAGCTGGTGAGTATTTCTTCTGTGAGACCAACAGTGACTTTGAAAGATTTACAAAGCTCTACTGTACAGGTACAGTATGTCTACAATGGCAGTCACTGTTGAGTCTTTATGAGACAGTGTTAATTCTTTAATGAGCAAATCCATCTTAAATACCATTTGAGATATACTGCCGATATATATGGCAGGTTTTATGGTCAGATGAATCAAAGCACAACTAAATGCAAAGCGTTATGCCTGGTGAAAGTCAATACAGCACATCACCTAGCCAGCATCATCCCAGATGTCAAGCAAGGGGCTGGTAGCATCATATTGTGGAGCTGCTTCTCCTTAGCCCGGCCTTGGAATCTTGTTGGTATTGAAAGAAAAATAGAAGGCAAGAAGCATAGGTGAATCCTAAAGGAAAAACATGAGTCACTTCAGAATTAAAAAATTTGGACATGTAGATTTCAGCAGGACAATGGCCTGAAGTACAAGGCCTAAGCCACATTGATGAGAGACAAGAAGAGAGTGAATATCCTTGCTTGGCCCAGTCAATGTCCTAACTTGGATCCAAAACACAAATTATTGCAAGACAATCAGCTATCCCCAATGAACTAGGAAAAATTATTCTAATTATTAAAAATTATTCCATCCCACTGTGCAAAGCTGGTAAAGTCCTATCACAAAATACTCACAGCAGTAATTGCTGCCAAAAGCGCTTCTACCAAGTATCGACTGATGTGGATATTTAGGTAATCAGTAAAGTTACAAGGTTTTGTTTCTGTGCCTGTACACCAAACAATTTGGGGCACTTTACGGGGTAAAAACAAAAACACACAAAAAATAGTAAATAAACCAAAATAACATCAATAATAATAATAATAAACTTTATTTTATATAGCACCTTTACAGGTAGCTTCTCAAAGCGCTTTACATAATGAAAACAATAAATAAAAATAATACACAAGATAAAACACAATCACAAAATACAGAGGAGACTGTGGATGGTGGTACTAGGAAAAGCAGAGGGGTGAAGAATGGAACCAGATAAGTAAAGGCTCTTCTAAAGAAGAAGGTTCTGAGTCTGGATTTGAAGGAGTGTAGAGAAGGTGACACTGATATCCTTGGGCAGAACGTTCCAGAGCTTGGGGGCATAACAGGAGAAGGCCCTGTCACCCATACAATGTAGACAGGCTTGGGGGACAGTTAGGAGACCAGAATTAGAAGAACGAAGGTTGCGAGGTGGGGAGTAGGACAATAATAGTCCAGACAGGTACTGAGGTGCCAAGGTCCCAAGCCATGCAGAGTCTTATAGGTGAGCATGAGGATTTTAAAGTCTACAGGGAATTTGACAGGAAGCCAGTGCAAGGACTCCAGGATAGGAGTAATGTGATCACTTGCACTAGACCTGGTCGGGATTCTGGCTGCCGAATTTTGATATACTGCAGTTTGCTCAATGTAGATTTAGATACCCCAGCAAGTAGAACATTACAGTAGTCAATTAGAGAGAACACACATATGTTGATCAGCTTTTCAGCCACAGTTAGTGATAACATAGTACTCTAGCGATATTTCTGAGATGAAAAAAAGATGTTTTGACAGTATGCTGCACATGTGGGTCGAATGTTAAGCCAGAATTTTCAAATTTAGACTGAAGCTCAAGTACAGAACCATCTAGAGATAGGGTTACAGGATTGGCTTTACGAAGTTGATGGGGGGGTGCCAATAAGCATGACATCAGTCTTGTCACAGTTAAAATGAAGGAAAGTTTGAGTCATCCAAGTTTTTATGTCAGAGATGCAATTAGATAGACTAGAGACAGCCACATCAGTGTCATATTTGGTTTGGATGTATATTTAAACATTAAACTAAAATAAAGAAACAACATTAGTGAAAAAAAAGTATTTTATGTATCTTCTTCACAGATTTTGTTGACATTGAACTTTACTTTGAAATTCTTTTGAAAATACATCAATTACCTGCAATTTATTAAACAGTGATACGATACACAAGTAGTGGACACGTCTGCAATGCATTATAAATAAAAAATACCTGCAATCTCACTCAATAAAAGTTGAGTCATTATGCAAATTGTTGCTGAAAATATTAAAGAGTTAATGTCCTCTTTGTAATTTTTATGCCCTGCCAAGAAGAGATCCATGACTCCGAGTGTTTCTCTTCACTTCATTGAAAATCAGGCATGAACTTTAAAGAGATGTGAGGAGATGATTGCTTTGTCGGCTCTGGTTCCTTTTTTTCCTTGTTGCAACAGCAGACTTCTCCATTTTGGATAGATTTGTTTTTCCTTTTTTTAAAACTTGCTGATGTTTCAGCAATTGCTGTTCTTTTTTTCTCTTTGTACCACCAAAGCAAGAATCGTTACCACAAAGGGATGATGTAATATGGCATGCTAACACTTCTAGAAATATCTAAATAAAACTAAGCATGCAATAGGTTGATTCCAAGCTGAAAAGAGCAGAAAGAAAACACAACGTGAGCTCACACCTGAAACGTATTACTTGTTCCTTTGCAGACTACGCATGCTGTCCCAGCCACCCACCTGAACTAAACAAAAAATAAAAGACTGAAATCTGTAATGGAGCCTTGCAATTAAGTAAAACATGTTCACTGTCAGTGGCACAGTGGTTAGCATTGCTACCAGTGTTGGGGCCACAGTTCAGTTCCTGGGTGCTATCTGTGTGGAGTGTGTATGTTCTCCCTGTCTACCCATGGGTTTCCTCTGGGTGTTCCAGTTAGCTCTCACAGTCCCAAGACATACTGGTAGGTTAATAAGCGTCTGGAAAAATTGGCCCTGGTGTGAATGTGTGCACATACTGTACATAGACATGTGATGAATGAACACCACATGAACACACTCAGCAGAGTCAGTGCTCTGAACTGCAGACGGTAGCTAATCACCTTGACCAGCTGAGATCTGAAATACAGAAAAACCACTGAGCTGCAGAAACCAGAAGTCATTTGCCCAAAATCTGATGGCTGGGTTGAATATGTGTTGATTAGAAATATGTGAAATTGGTATTACAGACCAGAAAGGCAAAAAGTTAAAACGCTTTAAAAAGAGAATACTGTACTGAGATATATTGTATAATAAATCAAAGGGACAGAATATCTTTTTCCAAAGGTGACCGACAGCTGTATTCCGTCCTTTCCATTTTAGTTGGAATTTCAAAATCCCGACATTCCTCAGACACTGACACTGAGCAGACCTCTAATACACAGCACAGTAAGTGGTGTTTGTGGACCTGTAGATGGTGCCCCTTCCTCTAGACCACAATTTACAAAAGCGCAGCTGAGGATGGTGACGGAGAACTCTGTAACGTAGGAGAGGCAAGCTTTGGATGAGATGTTAGACCAAGGACAGGTCTATGAGTCCCATAGCATGTAAATAAGAGCTGGGGTGTCTTGGCCTTCCATTTTGAACTCACCCAATTTAACTTACCTAAATTTCTTCTTAATACTCCACCTGGCCTGAAGTGGACGTAATAACGGTTACCAGGTGACTGCGCTTAAGTGGATGATCTGAATCTCCATTTACTGTATATATAAAACGCTTTGGGTTCCTTTAGGATAGGAATAATTATATACATGCAAGGAGTTCATACAATATTTCATCTTTATTTTCACTTGGACATCTTTTTTCTACATTTTTTACTACCTACTACATGCTGTTTGGGTTGGGGCTGTCATAAAAAGGCGTTCAATTTTTTTTAAACAAAATGTTTGATTCAAGGTTTTATGAAAACATTAACTTTAAAGTGTATATACTGTATAGTACACCATGGCACAAAACGACATACAGTATATAGTTTTGCAAAGCACTATATAGGTACATTTAATCTGTAATGAATTAATTAGCATTTTTTATTCCTGCTTATTTTTAATCACCCTGAATAATAGCTTTTTAGAGGCTACCAAGATGTTCTAGCAACATTCGTCTTCCTTTGCAAACCACACAGATACACAAGTGTGTTCATCACGTTTTTTAAGTATGCTTAGTTTTAGAGCTAGATGTTGGAGTTGAAGTTATGATGATTTAACGTCATTAATGTTTTTCTAAAGTGTTTTATAGCCTCAAATATGGTATAATGAAGGCAGAACGCAAGCTACACAAAGCGTAGTTCTAAGAAAACCCCTTTCTTTAGTACAGTATGTGGTCGTGTGTTCTGCGTGTTGCATCCCCGCGTTTGTCATACTCGCCTTAGATCCTTCTAAATGTATTTGGTTAACCACTGTCACTGGGAAGTAAACTTGCCTTTTGATAGGAAATTGTTTTGCGCGCTTCAAAACTGTCACCTCTGTATTATACAAATTACCGCAACAAACTGCTTCACGCCCACCAGTGTTTCCTTTGCAGTTTTATAACATACATTTTCGCTTTTCAGCACAAACCGTACTGGTTATACAGTATTTTTCTTGGTTTGTTTTTTGCTTTTCCGATGATAATCAGTTAACTTGTGATTAATGGTTCATGAAGTAGCGCCTTCTTTTTGCTCTATGACAGCTTGTATAATTGATCGTTTTAACTACCGAGCCTAACCTGCGGAGACGTCTAGGCTCTCTCTTTCGTTAACCAATGTCAATATTATAAGCAACGATTTCAGTTCAAGACAAGAGACGTCTGTCAAAAACGTTTAAAATGAACTTAAAAGAAGTGAGTTAACGACTTATTTTTAACGACTAATACCGTTGAGTTCCACGCCTCGTTAGGTACAAACACCGACCACGCACATTTCGATCTACGTTCAAAATCCAGACACCGTCCTCCTGTGTGACAATCGCAGCAATGCTGCTCCGGCGTGACCGAAGTGTGACCTGGGTAATGTAGTTTACTGCAGCTTTTAGCCTGTCCACTGCGTGATTAAAAAACTACAATACCCATGAGCCTAATGACAATGCAAAACACGTGGGTATAGTGGCTATAAGTGTATGACCAGTTTCTGGACTGATAATTGAACCATGGCTTCTGTTGTAGATCCTAGCTCCAATGCTTCTATCTCTAAATGTATCACCAAGCACTTGAATCTGCGATTTCATGTTGACTTTGACAGACATGTCATTAACGGGAACGTTGCCTTGACTATAGAGGTACTGGAGGACAAATTTTCAAGCCTGGTAAGTTACTGATTTACTGCTGTTTTCTTACTAATAATTGTGATTAGTCATTCATTCTCCTATAAATACACACAATAGCTGAGATCAGGCTGTTTACGTATTTATATTGCCAATTATTCCGATTTGAAATTAACTTTAGCTCGATAGAATACCCCACCTGATTTTAAAATGCTTGGTGTTTTGTATTGTTTTTTTTTAATGAAATCATTTGCTTTTGTTAACCTGTTGTGGTCTACACCCAAAGTCAGAAAGCAGTGATTTCTTTCTTCAGTAAAAAGTAGTTTAACATATCCCGATGGTGTCAGAATGTTGTCATTGTATTACACCCTGCGTCCATAGTGCAGTCCAGTAGAGTACCATAAAAGCAGAGTTTGGGGGAAAAGTACAATACGGGCGGAGAAATGAGGGGACAAACGTGAGACGGTGGGTGAAGAGTCCACAGGCGGGACCGAAGTAATCGTATTTCTCACTGACAAGTTAAGCTTTATTTCGGATAGTTGTACATAACTTTACTGGGTTACTTTCAATTATGCACTTTTCAGATAATGACATTTCGCTTGAGCGCGTAGGGTTACTGTAGAATTTGTCAAACCCATCCATCTGATATTTATTCATTTTTATTTCATTTGTATAACGGTACAGCTGCTAATCTCAGGTGTAATCCTTTCCCTAACAATACTGGAATCAATTATAGCGGTTGCTGTAGTGATTGGTGTTCTGTTTTGAAATTGTATTGGATGTGCATCACCTCGGAACATTTAGCGATGTGAAGGTGCACCCACTACAAAGTTGGCTGGCACTTCCAAGATCTCTTTTCCTTGACCGAGAGGGCTTATATATGCAGTTACAAATTTGCAGACAAATACGCCAAATAACTATCATTTAGTTATTGCTTGAAGTATGATTACTCATTAACCACCGCTCCTCATTTATTTTATTAATGACTTAACACAAAACTAGAGTAGGTCGGTAGATATTCTGAATACATAGAAATATTTTAAATGCGACACAAAGTTTTACATTTAAGAAACATACCAAGTCCATCGGTAAGTACACAAAAGTTAAGTTTATGAGCTGCCTATAGACTGACAACTTGTCATCCTGGTTTTATATTGTACAATATGTTCGTTATTAATACGTTTATAGTCGATTCTTTCTGTATGCTGTACAGAGTTATCGAGTGTTTTAGGACCTTTCAGATTTTTGTTCCAGCCTATAGCGTGCTGTGTATGTAGTCATTTTAGAATCGACAGTTATTTTGTTATATCCATTTAGAATCGTCAAAGTGTGTTTTTCACATCTCGGCTCTCGGATACTAACCGTGCAACCGCGCACGGGTGAACTAGAGGAAACAAGGCAGATACACCATGGAAAGGACGCCAGTCCATCGATGGGCAGACACAGACACACACTCATACCAAGGCCAGTTTTACCAGAAGCCAGTTACCAAACCAGTATGTCTTTGGATTGTGGGAGGAAACTGGAGCACCCATAGGAAACCCATACAAACTAGGGGAGAACATGCAAACTCCAAACACAAAGTTTTGTAAAAACTGGCATCCCATCCAGGGTGTATCCTGCCTTCCTTGCTGAGTTAGGCTCTGGCATTGCTGGAGACCTTGTATTGAATAAAATAAAGCAGTATAGAAACATGGATGGATGAGTATATCCATATACAGTATATTATATTGCATCAGAAGGGTTACTTCTAGGGTTACTTCCTAGATTCTTTTAAAATCAACAGGATTAAATGAAGATCTGAGAGACAAGTACATGCCCAGGCTCCATCAACGGGCTTCAGAACATCTTCTACTCCAGCCATCTTCCAACTACAGCTACTTTAGTTCCCCTGTGCTTAATTTAACCGGACAGTAAGATCTGAAAAAAGGTTAACATTTCAGAATACAGACCATAACTGCTTAGAGAGAGAGATGAAATCTTAGGTAAGGATATAATGTTCTATCCATTTGGCATTTGCAAATAAATGATTTATAGTTTCAGTAAACCTCACTGGACCTTTTGTTGGATTGAACAAAGTATACGCCTCATGGCCAATTGGCGGGTTCTGTTACAAAACCCCAAGATACATTGCTTTGCACCTTTGAGAAACTTGTAGAACTGAAGAGGCTTGAAGAGGTTTACGGTGGCTCAGTAAATTTAGAATGAGGGTTGATTGTCGTCTTATCCGCAGACAGGCAACCCTGTCATGTCTTAATATGACTGTGCATAGCAGTCTTGAGTGGATAGTCCCTCTCCTTAATGCCCCTACCGCTGTTTGCAGCTTCTGCTTTGGTCAACGTTCTGAATCCTTGAAATAAGGGAAGTGCAATTCAGGGAGTGTGAAATACCTTTCGCTTCATTTTGCACAATTCAGGGTGCTTATTGCATATCTGGACTTTGGTGTGACAAGTTGTAGCTTGTAGCCTCTCAGTCTGATAGGGAGTGCTGACTTTGGATGAGATCTGACTGCTATAAATTGTACGACGTGTAAATGTTTGACTTGGAGGACAGTTTGTGCATGCAGTGCAGTGCCATTGGAAATGATACAGGTGGTAGTAAAAAACACCTGTAGTCTGGAGACAGCTGGGTGTGTTTTGTCTCAGTTCAGTAGTATCAGCAAGTAATAGCAGCAGGGCTACCGTTTGCATAAAAGCAATCACCAGTGTGCTTTCAGAAATACATTGGCCAACAGTTGGTAACACTGTCTGCATCTCATCATTTGATGGATTTGATAGACTTGATGCTTCTCTTTTAAAATGCGTTTTTCTTTCACAAATTGGTTTATCCTTCCTTCTTTGTTTCTGTACATCTTACAGTTGACATTTTATGATAGTTTTTTTCTGTTAAGAAAACAAATCAAAATGCATGCATACATTTTAGGTGGTCAGGGAGTAAACACATTTGTCACTGTGTGTATTGTATTTCCGTTAATTTAGGGAATTCATTATAATGGTAAAAACGCCAAGTTATGTAGTACAAATGTAATGTACTCATCCTTTCCAACAGATTCTTGACTCAAAGACCTTGGAGATCAATAAAGTTATAGCTAATGGACTAGAGGTTTCTTTTACAACTTATTTAAACAAAGCACATTTATTATTTCCTTCTTTGATCTTTACAATCATTATTCCTTTTCGGGTTGCTGACATCAGTGATTTTAGATGCTCTAGCTCTACAGCTGTTCAAGACCTGATGCAAGGGCAAAGTTTCCTGTTTTCTACTGTGCACACAGAGTGATTATGTTTCAAGGACTTTGATCGTTCGAGATTGAAATTAATCCAAGGTCATTACAGTTGCTGAGCCGACAATTTGAGCTTTCATCTTATCGATACGACTTTGTCACCACTGACTCATAACTATCTTCACTATAGGTTTTTTTTAGGTGGAAAATAAAACCAAACCATACAGCGTATGGTTTTTTTTCATTTTTCATATGCGTATGTATTTATTGAACTGCATTTTGACTTGTGAAACATATGGAAATTGCAGTTGCATTAGCTGTGCTCATCGTTTTTCCACAGGTTCTTGATACAAAGGACTTGAAGATCAATAAAGTCACAGCTAATGGACAGGAGACCAAGTTTTCTCTGGGGTCCCCACACAGGTTTAAGGGTTCAGCTCTGGAGATCAACCTGCCTTTCGAATTGTCCAGGTAATGCTTTATGGATTCCACTGCCATGTAGATAAAAATATGACGCTATTTCAGGCGGGTTGACAAAGTCTTCACTACAGTATGTGCTTCCCTTTTTGTAAGCAGAACCCTATAGGGCTTTAAAAAAGTAAATAACTGCGATATTAGAAAGAAATTACTGTCATGAAGTGAAATTATTTTGCAAGTTTCAACCCCTTTATTGAAAAACGGATAATTATTAAAAAAACACTCCTTTCGGCCACGGTTCTGCAGTCTTCTGTCTGCAGGTCTCATCGAAAGCCTTTTTCAGTGCAACACACTGCGTGTCTGTGTCCCCGGGCTGGAATGTTTTCTCTGTCTCTCTCAGGGGCCAGCATGTCATTATCGAAGTGTCTTATGAGACCTCACCCAAAGCCTCCGCGCTGCAGTGGCTCAGCCCAGAACAGACTGCTGGCAAGAAGCACCCCTACCTCTTCAGTCAATGTCAGGTATCACAACCAAACCCCTGCCTTATCACAGCGGGACGGACAAGCTCGTGTTGTTTTTACATGCAGTAAACCCTCCTTATATGGGCTCTCTCCATTCTTTGAAAACGGGATTATCAGCTGAAAACGGAAAAGAAAAATTGACAAATTCTTGTGTAACAGAAATTACATTCTGATTACTTCCCCTGCTGTAATTGCTAATTGGTTCCAGAACATAAAAATGTTCCCTTCAACACCCAGACTTTATCTTAATACAGCACAGAACAGTACCTAAGTATGAAAGCAACGTTCCTTGTTAATTATTCACATAAGATGCTTTGTCAAAGGTTGATGCAGGAACAATAGGTAGGTAACAAAGTTGATACAGACCTACAAATGAAAATGTGTTGAGATTTTTAACTGTTGAGTTTATCGAGTGGTATGTGTGTGGTTAGCTTGGGAGGAGAAGAAGATTAATTTCTCATGATAAAATACAGTAGTCATATGAAATGTTTACCTCTCTGGGGAATGAAAGCAAAAATCCCCATGAGAAGAAATACTCTGTACATATCCTCCTGTCTAGAAAAACAGCATAAAAGCACAGTTTTGTAAAGAAATGGACTATGTTTCTCTTTGAGTTTTATTTTCTTTCTTTACTTTTCATTTTGTTTTTCATTTGTTGCTCAGGCTACCCACTGTCGAACCATGGTCCCCTGTCAGGATACCCCATCTGTGAAAAGCACCTACTATGCTCAGGTACGTTGTTTTAGAATGGGCATCCCCTTGGCATACAGTCAATGTGTGAATGTTTTTTTACTCATGTTCACCTGCCTTCAGCCCAATATGCATTGCCAATTAATGTAAAAGCTGTTTATATTAAAAATAAATACACCGTATTATTTTTCTGAAACCTGAAGTTTTCAGTACGTATGCATAAATGGTTGCTTGACATCGTTACACAAAATGTTGTCTCAGTTTGGTTGTATAGAGCATAGAGGTTTCTAGTCAACAAGGGTTTAGCAATTCTGCAGCATTTACACTTTGCTACCCTGTCTAGCACTGCTTACACTACTGGAACCACTTCCTCTGTATGCTTAACAGAAAAGGCATCACAATTCAATTACATGCTGCACAACAGTGTTACACAACAATGTTACAAAAGCAAGGGGCACTTCTTCTCGAAGAATGTTTTACAGGTTAGGATTCAGAATCCTTTTCTGGTGACAAACAAAATCCTCCAAATGGAGACGGGCGTGCCGACAAGCAGACCCTACTGATGCGGGATTAACGCAAGGATGAGAGAGTATTTCTTTAGCTTTAATCTAAATAATATATTATTGAGGATTAGTGTTAATGAGGGGCCCTAAAACCAAAGATATTGCAACATGCGTGCAGACACTCAGAAATGTGCAGATATCAGCAGCACAAGAGCTTATTTTAGTTTGCAGTTACAACTGCCAGCTTTAAAGAAGCTCAGTTTACTCTGCACTAAAACCTTCTGCCCTGAAACACTGGTACTCTTGTCTCTGGATCTTTCTTCCATTGTTATCCTGCTTACTTTCATCTAAATGTTGGACAAGACAGCTTAAAAAGTGCTGTGGTATGGATAATATAATGAAATATAATCTATTGAGACTTATCAGATATTACCAGGTTTAAGTTGTCTGCTCCCCCAATTTTCTTTCTCTGGTAAATTTTAAATTAAGATAGGGCAGTTCTTCCAAACAGTGATGGTCCATCCAAGAGTTCACAGAAATATATACAGCAGTCTCATTTGCACAACTTTCTTATTGCTGTAAGGCAGAAAATAAAAATAAAACAAGTAAACCCATGATTCTGATTATTACACTGAAATTAAGAAATGAATTAACCAATGCCAACAAACAAATTGCACATGTTGTTCTCAGTGTTAAATACATGTCATTACAACATTTGTAAAAATTCTCAACTTAGAAAGAGACTTCCAGGTATTGGTAGGTCTTAATTTAGGGGTATAAAATGCTGTAACTCAAAAACATGTACATTTGAAATGAATTTCCCATAAGAATGAATGTAAATGGAAGAGAGTGTTCTGGGTTTGAGCCCCTAAATAAAAACCGTTCCACACATCCTTTCATGCATGTTTATATAGTGGTATTAAAAAAACAGCTGATATTTGTTAATGTCTAATAATTTCATGTAATATGCGAGTTGGAGACTAAAGTGAGTGGCAGGTCATGAATGGTGTGGAAAATGCGTGCCCACAGACACATCTGGAGTGTGCAGCTTTCTTCAGCCCTCTGTCACTGAGGCTTTTAAACATAATTGTTTCAAAACCGTTCTATTGCACGATGAAACCCGACGAGCGGCTGTTTTTTTAAAAAAAAACATTTTAGTTACAAGTTGGTTGTCATTAATTTCATTTTTAAGAGTTGTTGACGCCATTTTTATAGTTTCTTTTTTTTAATATTAGGTTAATAAACATAAGGCTAAGACAAAGACATTTGATAGATTTGTTTATTAAGGGCGAGACGATGGGAGATATCTCTGTGCTCTTTCAGGCACCATTCAGAGACTGCCCAGGTCACTGCGTATGGTCCAAGTTACTGTAAGGCTCTCGGCAACGTGCAGCTGGGTACTTGCAGAGTATTCAAACACTCAGTAAAGTTGCCCATTCCCAAGCATGCTGAAGTGAGAACTACAGTAATTTGTCCAAAACCAAAAAACAGTATATGTTTTTGAGGTGCGTTAAATCAAAAACATGCAAAAAGAGTGCATAATTGGAGAACTTCCTGTATGTGGCGACACCTTAAAGGATATTTTATTGTTGGTTTAACTGAGGTAGTAACATTTTTCAAGATATGCTGTGCTTGCCATTACTGTACTCAAATGAGGTCCGTAATGTATGATATACTTCTATAATATATACTGTAACAATCTTGATTTCAGCTCTTGTAACTGCAGGAGAGTCTTTCAAGGTCTGCGTGTTGCTCATGAATCTAGGCTTCCTGTGCTTGCAAGACTTGTACTTTAGTCCTTTAAAGAATCTTCATTAATAACCAAACCAGAGCAGAAGGCTTGTCACCCTGGACTTTACCAGGAGATAAGAGAGGTTGTGAGCAGGAAGTGGCTTCACAGCACATATTGCTGAGCCTGGTGTTCAGAAGTTTAATGTTGGGGGACAGCAGCAACGCATTTCTAAAAGGATTGCGGTGAACCAGCTTCCATAAAACGACCTGAAAATGCATTCCAGAGTTGAATAACTCTCCTCTTTTTTTTTCTAAGCCCTTGTGTTCAGGATGGGAATACAGGAAGGTTAGAGCCTGGAAGAAGAGAGAGGTTTTGGTTTGGTTTTCCCTGCTTTGTAAATACCGCTGCCCTTCTAATTTTGTACCTCAAGAATAAGCTCAATAAAAAACCTCAATCTCCTCTTGGACCGTGTGAGCGTGTCCTGTCTTCCTCACCGGCCCTGGCTTGTCTCCTCACCAGGTGTCCGTCTCCAAGGAGCTGGTGGCGGTGATGAGTGCTGTGAGGGATGGGCAGGACGCAGACCCTCTTGACAGCAGCAGAATGGTCTATCGCTTCAGGCAAGCGGTGAGTGTCAGGCTTGTCCTTCACCCTGAGCTTATCAGTGATGCTCTACAGGAGCAATGTCAGACAGCGCTGTTTCTAACAACATGTGAGCAGTTCCAATGGAGCCTGTCCCTTCCACCAGTCAATGTCGCAGGCGGACACTAGAGTGTGTGTCCAATCCACATGTCCTGCATAGAATAGGTCAGGAGATGTCCATGCCTGCACATCAACATGAGTAAACCCGTCTTTCTCGTTGACTGTAACAAACAAAATATTCCAAACAATTTCAGATGCTACTGCCTTTAGGGGACCTGTCTGTTGTAACATTTCAGAAACCAAAGTTAGCGCTGATCCAAGAGTTTCCAAGACCAGTTATCTTACTCGACTGCAGTATAATGTGGCTAAGTTTCCTGTATTACCATTGCTGTCCGTGTTTCAGAAATCTGCTGCCTGTAGTATTTACAAGATTACATTTGGCTTTTTCACTCAAAGCTTTATCCATTGCTTATCAAGCCTGCAACAGAAAACTCTTAAGAAAATACTTTCACACAAGCATTCAAGCCACACTTGGTTCGTTAAACATCATTAAAATCTGTATTATCCCCCAATTTTACAGGTTGCCATGCCTTCTTATTTGATTGCCATAGTAGTTGGTGCTCTGGAGAGCAGGTAACTTTTTTTTTTTTTGTTAGTTTACACCATGCATTTGTTCACTCTTGTTAAGATAAGCTATGTGTATTCTGTATTTTACTTATTATATAACATGGATTTTATGCTGGAGTTTGAATACTTGAGGCGGGTCCCCTCTTAGGCTTCCATTTCAGACTAAAAGATTCAGTTATCTTAGCTATTTTTCAATACATGCAAGTCAAGCCATCAACTTCCACAAGTGGAGTTGTTTAGCAATTAAGTACTCCTGCCCAGACCGTGACACTTGGACCTCTCCAGTGAATGGCCTGTTGTACATAACAGTAATTCAATCTTATGCATGTCTCCACCACACTTGCTGATGTCCATCGCGGTGATCTTCACAAAACATTCCTTCTCCTCTAAAGAGGACTTGAGATCTCCACTGGTGACTCCTCCTGAAGTAACACACACATGCCGATGGCACTGAAACGTTTTTTAGATTAGATTCAGGGCATCTTGAACTACACTAGTCAGAGAATAGTTTTTATTTTCATTGTGCTAAGCTGAAAAAAAGCCTTGCATTTTAGGTACATCTTCCATAATATTCAGTAAGTTTTGAGAAGCACTGAGTGATGATCTAAAATGATGTCTGGTTGTGTTCAGAGAGATTGGGCCGAGAAGCAGAGTCTGGTCAGAGAAGGAGGTAGTGGATCTGGCGGCCTACGAGTTTGCTGAGGTGAGTTGGTGCTTTGTTGGTTTGTAGTCATTTCTCTCTCCCTCATGCTGGTTTTTAGATAGTAGCCACTTTCTGCAGTGCCCTGCTTCTTATCAGCAGAGTCCCCTCGGTATGGTTTCCTCAGGAACGTAGACTCGTTGCCACTGGGTTCAGCAGCGTACTTCCTGTGGCCAACAGTTAATCGCTTCTGCTCAGCTCCTCTTTCACCCGCACAGATCTTCACCGTCGGTATACGGCTTCTAGAAAACTGACATGGAAATCCTTGCTACCATTGAAGCTTTGAAATACTGCAACCAGTAACTCAAACAACAGAGGGGTTGAGAAAAATCATTTTGAAGCAATTGTTGCCATTGTTACGCATTAACATGCCCTCGGTTCTGCTCTTCCTCTTCTCCCAGACTGAAGCCATGTTGAAGATTGCAGAGCAGCTGGCAGGACCTTATGTATGGGGCCAGTATGATGTCCTTGTGCTCCCTCCTTCCTTCCCTTATGGAGGCATGGAGAACCCCTGTCTGACCTTCGCCACCCCAACTTTGCTGGTGAGCCTGGATGTTTCTTGTTACTTCCTTGTACAGTACGTTCAGCTTCATCGGTTTGCTTGCAACTCCACGAATGTTGATAGCGTCATTGTTTCCATGGAAGCCAGATTCTAGCAAACCATGACTTGGCATGTGACCTCTGACCTTTTGTAAAGGTGACATGCAAAATCTTAAAACTCTTCACATAGTGTAGATGGAGCTGAGGTCATACTGGAATTGTAGGAACTCATATGCACTCAAAAAGAGTTCTTATTCATAAACCTTGATCTCTCCATGGTCAGATGCCAACCTGTTACAACAATAAGGAATGTTAATTTGGCTTTGATGACCACTGTTTCCAGCTATATTTCGCAGGGTTTTTATTTCTCAGTTATTCCAAAGTAACATCAGTCATTCCAATACATTTTAGTACAAATCTGGCAAGGTGACATTCAGAACAAAGAAGACTTGCATAAACAGTGTTCATTGTGTTTTAATTTTGAACTTTCCCTTGATTTGTAAGAACAAATAATAAAGTAAATCAAGTAATTCTGTTTGGCATAAATCTTGACATCTTCTTTTTGTCCAGGACTGTCCATGATTTCTGTTTTCTCTATTTTAGGCTGGTGACAGATCACTAGTTGGTGTAAGTTGCCTCACTCCTACCTGTATTTTGACTCACATTTTTATTTGTGTTCTCCTTCAAGGTTGCTTTCAGGATGCTTTCTTCTCTTCCTTAGGTCATTGCACATGAAATCTCTCATAGCTGGACTGGCAACCTGGTGACAAATAAAACTTGGGAGCATTTTTGGTATGTTTTGAACAAGTGACTTGCAGTATATCAGTCTTTAACAGATACAGTGAGGTTTATCAGTAAATAAAGCTTAAAAAATCAGCTTTAACGTTCTTGTTTGTCAAGAACGGGGCTACAGGTGATGTTGACATCAGTCCTAGAAAGCAATAGTGGAAGTTGGTTTAAACAGATTTTGACACTTGGTTATCTTTCACACTCACTGTCAATGCTGACAGATGTCATGTTGTACACTTGCACACTCGGTGTCAATGCTGTTGATGTTGACAGTTCACATTGTCAAGCTGAATCTTAAGCAAGGCTTTCAGAGCCCTGTCAAATCGAATCTAATAGTCATGTGTATCCAAAATTACCTGTAATTACTGCATTATGGTGTTTTCTGTAGATAATGCTGAGCTTGCAACAATTTTGAAAACCAAGCAGACCATCACTGTAATCACAGTAAAGTAGACCCTGTGTTGTAACATACCTTCCTGCTGAGCTGTGTTTATTTTAAACTCAGGCTGAATGAAGGCCACACCGTCTACCTGGAGCGTATGATTGGCAGCCGCATGGTGAATGAGCAGTTCAGGCAGTTCAAAGCGATAGGAGGCTGGAAGGAGCTTCAGGAATCGGTAAGATTTACTGTGATGGAGAACTCTACAGTTCAAGAGCAAAAAGTATTCATGTTTTATTATTACTTTTTTTAAGTCATCTATTTAAATCTGTTTAGTTTGTTTTTAGATTTAGTATTTTATTTGTTTTTGAGATTTTTACATTTTTACTGTCCCTATGTTACACCATTTTGACTATTTTCTCTTTATTTTTTTGCTGTTGCATCTATGTGATGCAAAGCTTCATTTTCAGGAAAAGCTTCTTTTTAAATCTGAAGAAACTGTGCTGTCAGCAGCTCAGAATTTCTCAACCATTAAATGTAAATGAGTGCAAAAGTAGCGTGTTAGAAACTGATAATGAAGTGATATATTCTTATCATGGGGTGTTAAAACCACAAACTGGAATTGTAATTCTTCAGTAGAGTTTCACTTCATCTTATTCTTGATCATATTTTTGCGGTATCTCATTTTAATAAACGTCTGCAATACTCCTCACTCAGTGTCATTCCTTCTTAACATCAGAATTCACAATTATAAACCATCATCTACTGATATTTTTTACATTTTATTTAACAGCTTATCTTGATATATCTGTATTTCATGATTCTGTAAAACAATACAAGTCATTTTTTAGCTTCATGATGTATAAGGAGGAACAAATGACCTTCACGATGATGAGTCAAATTTGTCTCAAGATGTACAGTAGCTGGTAAAAGCAAAGTATTAGATTCCACATCACTTCATTGTATATCTTGTGTTGTTTTGATTAAACACAAGATTAATAAGATTAAAAACTTGATTTTTTTTCACCCACACTAAGCTGTACTAATTACAATAAGTTATTTATAGAAATCGCTAGCTACAACTTCCACAAAAGTTTAGTTTCATGTGGGGGAAAAAAAGGTATTTGTTACATTAAGTTATTTTTTGTATTGATGGTACAAAAACATTCAAAATTAAAAGGGCATTTCTAGTAAAATTAGACCGGGGCCTGCTTGTTGTTCTGAGGGTCATTATTTCAAAATTCTTGTTATTCATAGTTTTCAAAAGATATGAAATGTACAAAAAAAGGTTATCAACAAAATGGGTTATAAAAGCTGTATGAAGGCTGCAAACTTTACATTGAAAAAGTATCTCTATTTCTCATGTTTTAAAGCCTGCATGTGATCTACATAGAAGCTGTATGACTATTTAATTTCAGGGGTCTTGCTATTTCCCTGTGTTCTGTTCACGTTGAGTATGTGTAAATTAAGAGCAGATTGGTATCTCTGTGATCGGAATCTTTCTGTGCTGCAGGTAAACACATTTGGAGCCAATAATCCTCTGACAAACCTTGTCCCTAATCTCCACGAAGTGGACACAGATGAGGCCTTCTCTTCAGTCCCATATGAAAAGGGTTTTGCTCTTCTCTACCATCTGGAAGAGCTCATGGGAGGCCCAGGTAAAACTGCAGGAAATCTGTTTCAGGACTCTTGAGGGAGTCAAAAATGATGGCAGTCTCTTCCAGTTCTTTTGAACCTCTGCTTTCTGCTCATAAAGTAATAACCGTCTGGTCTTTTGCTGTGTGGTGTTCTAAATATTAATGCCCAGCAGCGCCAAAGTTCAGTTTGATTAGCTCCACTTCATATTTTCAGTATATGCTTGGAACTTGTACTGCTGCAGTTTGTAGATGCCCCTTGAGATGTTCATGAAATTCAATGACTAGTAAACCCTATCACTTTTTTTTCCTGTTCAGATGCTCCACATTGCTCAAATCTGGGAGTCTTGTGAATTGTGATTTTATGCTCAGCTAGCTAATATTTTATGGACTAATGTGTCAGTGTGATAGCTGTTAGCGTAGCAGTGCCAGGATGATGTATTTGAAGATTGCAGGAGCTCATTGGTATTTTGGCTTTTACCAGAGGTATTCATGGGATTCATCAAGTCCTACATTCAGATGTTTGCCTATAGCAGTGTCACCACTGATGCCTGGAAGAACTACCTCTATACCTATTTCAGGGACAAGGTAAACCTTTTCAACGCTTCAACTAATGCATATATATAAAAAATCAGTTGGCTTTAGTTGTCTGACTCTGAATTGATCATGGCCTGTGTAGATATTCTGTATAGAGAAATTAAGCAGCTGTGTAACTTATAGTTTGTTTGAAATATTTTTGCAGGTTGACATTCTCAATAAGGTAGACTGGAATGGCTGGATGCACACCCCAGGAATGCCTCCAGTAAAAAATCAGTACGTACAAATGATTTCGGGTAAAATTTTTACACACCTCTAGATTTCTTCTGTAACACTATTTTGCTTATAATCCGAGGTTCACCTTGCTAAAATATTTTCTTATAACAAAAGGATAATCTGATGCTGTAAATGCTAGTGAAAGATTGTTTTTTCTACATATAGTAAATAAAGACAGTTGTACAGAAAGCTGTTTTTAACTTCAGCAGATTGAATAAGAAAGAAAACACTTATTCCCCCTTTTAAATGGGGTGGAGAGAAACACTTGGTTGGATGAAAAACTCAGAAGGTATTCGTGTGTGTGTGCACCATGTGAGAGATCCATCAGAAAAGTCTCACAAAATGGTCGAAGATATTACAGCAGAAAATTGATGATGCCACGATCTGTGAAGTGGGGAATGGGTAAATTGATTGGGTAAAATGCCTCTTCTTTACAGATATGACACGTCCTTGGCTGATGTGTGCATTGCCTTGTGCCAGAGATGGGTTAAGGTTTGTGCAGCACTGTATGCTTCTCATCTGTGAAATAGTCATGAATTAAAATTGTAAGGGAATATAGTATTCTTTTATGCATATTATTTTCTGTTGTTTGTACACCTACATAATGTGCAAGCCTTTAATAATGAAGATTTATTGAACCAGATAAGTGAATAGAAAACAACTTTTTTTTTTTCATTTACAACGATAAATAAACTGGTGTGTAGATGCACCAGTTTATACAGTAGGGCATTTTACTGGGACAGGTCTTAAGTGAAGTACCTTCTCAGGGGTAACAACAGAAACATCCCGCCTGGGATTTAAACCTGTGACCTTATAGATACAAGTCTAGGTGTCTACTACATGGTCTGTAGAAAGAGGTGAATCCTTTTAAAATCTTTATAACAGTGACAAATTCTTCTCTCCAAGGCAAAGGAAGCAGATTTGAATGCATTTACTGCAGATGATTTCAAGAAGTTATCGTCCCATCAAGTGATTGAGTTCCTGGCTCTGTTACTGTTGGAGGTAGGCCCAGGCCTCTGGTTATATCAACATGTGACAGATGTGTATGGTATATATAAAATTCCTGGTGTTTTCTTGAAGATTGTCTATTCTATTTGGGTTTAAAGGGTAACTGCAATGCTATATTTATATTTTGGTAAGTAACATCTACACAGTAATATGTAGAACTTCCGATTTACATTACAAAATAGACTACATTTCCAGGTATGCGCATCGCCATATTCTGCAATTCAGAATGAGGCAACAAAACATGAAGGTGACATGAAACGGCCTTATTGCATTGTAGACAAGCAGGCTCATGAATGCATCCCTTTTAATCCAATAGGAATATTGCTTTCGTCTTCGACAGTTTTGCTGACAAGTACTACTTGTTATCTCTACATACAGATCACATTGGAACATTTCTGCAGTGAAATATCTTCTGCACAGCCTGTACTTATTTGCTCGTACATCACACTAGTCGCTACGGTAACTAGCGAGCAGGAAGGGCTGCTTCACGTAGCAATTCTTGTAAACTCTCGCTCTCAGCGGTTTGCGACAACATGGTGACTATCCAGTAGTTTCACAAAGGTCACGATTTTCTGCTTTACTCAAAATTTGTAAAATTTTGCCATTGCTGTCAATTAATGTATTTTGTTACTTAAATGTAATAGGCAGTCTGAGTTCCCCTTTAACAGAAAAAAAGGCTTTTTAGATAGGCATGTTTCTAAATCTTGAGTCTCGTAGTACACTTCAAGATTTTTGCAAGAACGAATTGAATGGAATGAATTGAATGTGTGAAAAGATTCCATCAGGTGTTTTAAATCTTGTTTAAAGTACTGCTCTATTTTGCTCATTTTAGGACCCACTCCCACTGTCGCACGTGAAGAGAATGCAAGAAGTGTACAACCTGAATGCAGTGAAGAATGCCGAAATAAGATTCAGGCATGTTTTTACACTATAATTACTTTTAAATCTCTCTAAGGTTTGCGTCACATTAATTGCTATTACAGCTCTGATGCCTGATACCAGCTGTTGGACCTGATGAGTGAGCTTTGTGCATGGAAACCTTTCCATACGTTCATTGTGTAATTTTGTCAAAAAAACGTTTTGGATTTGATTTGGAAAAACTGCCAATTCATGTGCGCATGAATTCTGAAAAGAGATATGAAATTATACATTTTATATATGAAAAGATTATCTGAGTAAAATCTTGTGCTTTTATGACTATAGGATGCGGATGAAAAAGAGGATGCAAGAGATGAGAGCCTGTTTGTCGTTTGAAATTTACACAATCATTTCCTGCTAAATGTATTTAAATATCAGCGGAAGGAAGGGGAAGTGGGCCCGTTAAGTGCTTACCGGTTCCATTTTTTCTAAAACAAATGCCAGAACTTTGTTACATTTCTTTTTTTCGTCCGTGTTTAAAGAACTCTTGCAAGGTGAAATGTTAGAATTTCTGTAGCAACTGGTTAGGGTTTTCTCGCGAAGACTATTTTGAGTCTTTGATTTACAAAATACAGCCTAGAAATTCCATCTTGGGTTGCTGCCCCTGAAATAAAAAAGGGAAAAGCAAGTTGTATTGCGAGAGCCTGTCGGCCTCTAGTTAAGTGGTGATGGTTAGGGTGGGATGGCGTACCTGGGTGTGGCGGGAGAGAAGGCCTTGCAGGAACAGTGTCGTTGATTGAATAAAGCATTTCTCAAGGGTACCATGGTGGATTCCACAGCAGACGTGTGGACTCTCGACTTGCCAGTGATGAGTCTAGGGCTCTGTCCTCCACCCTGAACTGCCTCACAAGATATTCAGCTTAAAGACTTCATTTATTTTAAATGAACAAAGTAACATATTATAGCTGAAATGTGTAGAAGTTAAGTAGAGTAAAGCCCTTGACGTTATTCCTTGTCCAGTTAGATTTGCATTTATTTTTTCTGCTCATTGCAATATACAAGCTTTATTATTTATTCAATTAAAGCACCATGTTCTTGGCTGCTCACAGGTGGCTGCGTCTCTGTGTCCGATCCAAGTGGGAAGAAGCTGTTCCCCTGGCCTTCCAGATGGCCACTGAGCAGGGCCGCATGAAGTTCACACGACCTCTGTTCAGGTAATAAAGCGAACGGGCTACAACCCCATTTTATTCCATCCGTCCATTTTCGGACCACTTCTTCCAATTCAGGGACATAGGGGAGCCGGAATGTATCCCAGCCAACAACAAGCGCAAGGCAGGATACATCCTGGATGGGATGCCAGTCCATCACAGGGCACACACAGACACAAACACACATGCTCACACCAGAGCCAATTTTCCCAAAACCATAATAGCCTACTAATATGTCCTGGACTATGGGAGGAAACTGGAGCACCTGCCTGAAACCCACACAAACCTGGGGAGAACATGCAAACTCCTCATGGACTACACCCCAGGGATTGAACTCGGGGGACCGCTGTGCCACCATACTGCTCCCCTGTATTGCTTCTGCCTCTTTATTAAAATCCTGCACGGTTAAATGCAGGACGTAATACTTTTGTATGACTGCGCTTCCTGTTTTTGTGTGTTTTCAGGGAGCTGTACAACTTTGACAAGTACCGCGAAAAGGCGGTCAGCACCTTTCTCAAGCACAAGGGCTGCATGCATCCAGTCACTGCCATGCTGGTGGCGAAGGACCTGAAGGTCGAACCGTCAAAGAGCACAGCTTGCTAGGGAGCTTTGCTCTCTTTGCATTCGCATTCGCAGGCTTTCAGTGGGCTGTGCAGACACTGCTGTCAGGCTACTGTTAGGAAGAATTCAATAAAAAATAAAAATGTAGTCTTAATAATCAGAAAGAGCAAGCAATGCAGAAGCAGCTGATATTCAGGTACAATTGCATTTTTCTTATAGCTTTGCAAGGCGTGTCTTTGTGGAGGGAAACCTCGGACACGAAGTTTTTATTATTTCGAGAAGTGGAAGGTACATGAGCTGAAGGTTCATAATGTTTTTACATGAAACTTGCTTTTATAACTAAGACAAATCACCTTGAGCACATCCATCTAAAAGAAAAATACGTTTTTTCAACAAAGAAATTCTCCTACATTGTCAGTCCCTTGCTGTCTGCTTTTTTTGTTATAATAAACATTAGTTTAAAAATGTTTTGAATTCTTGCATCTTGCTTTGGTGTCACTTTATACAGATTTTCTTTTTACAACACTTATCAAGATTAACAGAAGTGTTACTGTATTGGTCCTACAGATACTCATTTCCTTTCCAGATGAAAAATGTTAAGCATCGTAGAAGATCAAAAGGGACAAATTGGTGTCAGCAAAAATAACAGCAAAACTATACCAATCTGATGTTCAAAAACTCTCTGCAGAGTCTCTGCACTTCCATGCAGCATATCTCAAAAAACATTCTTTTCAGTGCAGACATCAGAGCCATATACTTGACATCACTGCGGCACTAAAGAGCTTTGAGTTGTGAACAACACACTCTTCGTGCTCCTGGACAGGCACTGAAATCTAATGTAAAGAAGCTACTGCCTATTTGTACCGTATTTAATCATTAAATATTTTGATATTCAAAGGTTTTAGACATTTAAATGTTACTCCCGAGTTCTCTTAAATAACCAGGAAGGCAGAAAAAGCTCAATCAATACAGTGAAACATGTAAATATGAAATTTTAAACTGTCATGTCTTTTAAACAATACCAAGATGTACCTTACAGTAATACTGCTTCAAGATATAGGGTTGCTTTTGTAACTGAAATTAAGGATGACACTTTCTAAACTGATGATGAGGTGGCAGATTCTTTTCTGAGGATGTTAAAACCACAAGTCCGCACCAGTCCTTGTACAAAAATGCTTCAGAATGTGTGTTCTGTTTAGTTTAGTGGTAGTGTGTGCTTAATAATATTTTTACAAAAGGGAGGGTAAATATTCAAATACAGGGATTATAAAATCAATCAGATTTAATTCCAGCTTGTTATGCAAGCAAAGAAGTTTAGTTTCATCCCCTAATGTTCTAGAATTCCAAGCATTTTGCACCATGTGTGTTCTTTTTTCCTCTGTAGTATACAGTAATAATCGGGACCAAACTTAGACAACACAAAGATTTATAAATCATTTTCAATGCACTTTATACAGCTATACTACATTCTGGGGGTTTTCAGAATTCTTTAAACCTAAAAATTCCTTAACACGCTAACAGGCAGGGGAGAGAAATCCTGCATCCTAAAAAAAGGGTCCTACCCTGGACTAAGTCTCCCTCTCTAAAATGTGGATTCCAACATGTGAATGGGAACCAACTTCTCTACCATAGAAATACATCACTGAAACAGGAGATACATTTGTAGCCTGAGGATTCCTCAATATAGGAAATCAGAAATTCCTAAAATAAGACAGCAAGCTCTCTTGTAGTAATGCTCAGTATTGGGTACTCTTTATAGTGCTGAAATTACTGGAACACAACTTGGTTCTAAAATTGATTGGACACAGGAGCTCTCCAAAGTATTTTGATTATCTAAAGCTTGTGCTGGGTAGGCAAACATGTTGGAGCCAAAAGTCTTTTGACCAGAGTTTTATTGCTTGAGTTGGCTGTTCACAAAGAAAATTTAAAATGTTCATATGGAAAAAGTGGGGTGCTGCAAATCATAGCAAAGAGAGGTTACAGAGCAGTATGATGCTTATGTACATGCAGGAACAAGAAGCTATTTTATACTTCTAAAAAAATCTGAAATAATATTGACAAAGCCATTGTAAATACTGTATTATTATTAGATTACATTTAAAAATTATGTCTGTTGTCCTTGAGTTTCATGGTCTTCATATTTTTTATATCTTATTTGAGACGTTTGAATTCTTTCCTCTTTCTACAGTATTTGCATTGTATTTCCTAAACGTTAGGTGATTTATTCTCTCGATGTTCTTAGCAGGAAAGAAAAATTTGCTCTCTAAAATGTTACACTGTTTCTGCTATAACAGTGGAAATTCTGTTTGCCTTCTTTGAAACTAAACTGTTGCGGTAGTTAGTAGCACATAACTTCAACAGGCACTACACAACTGAAGGTACGCAGTAGTTTTCATCCTACTGGAGCTTCAATTAATTTTTGTAGCACAGCGGCCTTATTTCCTGCAGGGCTACAAGCACAGACCCCAAGGAAGTCGGGCACTATGTGATCGACAAGTGGCTCACACTCCGTGTATCAGTATCACTCACAATAAAATTGTATTGCACCCGTTATGCGTTATTAGTGACGGCAAAATTCACTTTGTTGGCCGACATCCACACAGAAAAATAGTTAAAGAAATAGATGGTCTGCTTAATAAGTGAATTTCACCAGCTTTTATAGAAAAATACTGTATCATTCCATCCGTGTTCTAACTGCTACATCAAAGTGAACGGGGTGGGGTACATCCCGGGCAGGACACCAGTCCACTGCAGGGCACACACAGATACAGACACGCACACACTCACATCAGGGCCAATTTTCCCAGAAGCCAATTAACCTAGCAGTATATCTTTGGACTGGGGGAGGAAACCAGGGCAGCCAGAGGCAAGTGAATTTGGCTTCAATCACAGAGGGTTCTTACACAATAAGGTACAGTACACTGTTTCCAAGCCGGTGGACAAGGATTACTCTATCAAATTAGAATATTGTGTGAATGAGGTTGATTATTTCTTGCAAAAAAAACATAATGCTGTTTTTTTTTTCTCTGTCAACCAAATCCTATGTAGATTAACATAATAGGGCAGTGAAATGAACAGCAAGACACAAATCAGAGGGCGTGTGGAAGTGCATTCAAAACCAGAAACAGATACTTCTTTATCCAAAGGGTTGTGGGAGTAAGGACCAAGCTACCTAGCTGTATTGTTGAAGCCGATACCCTGGTTTCTTTCAAGAAATGGCCGGATATGATCCTTGGATCAATTAACTACGACCAGATAAGTAGTAAATTCTTCCAAGTATCTTCTAGTCTGTAACCTTTCCTCCTGTTTTCTTATATTGTCATTTTTAGTGCTTTCCAAGGAGCAACATCTGGATCAAAATGGACATAAAAATGAAATCAACGTATAACATCACCTTCATGAAGCAGTTTCACATGATCAAAAACGATCTTCCAATTGGCTTTTTCCTAATCTTTTAACTGTATTTCGCCACTAGAGGGCACCCACACCCCTTTAATAAGTGAATGATGAGCGAATGTGTTCTCTGCCTATGTAAGTTGCAAGTCTAAAGGAACTTCACTTTCAGTAGTAGAACAAGAAGGCTTCTCTAATATGAATGAAGAGCAGAGTATTAGATTAATAGTACTATAAGTACTATAATATTAATTGGGTATCCCAGAGTATTATAGTGATTGAAGGTGTCTAGGCTAGGCTTCCTCAATCTCTCACACCTAAATGTTTTTTTTTTATATATTGCAAGGTCTAGATATCCCTGTGGACTTCTAGACTGCTAGGGCTGCTCATCCCTGGTGAGGCTCTCAAACCCTATCCCAGCAGCACCCAGGATGCAGGGCAGGGCTACACATGGGATGGGATACTAACCAGCATTTCTTTGGAAGCTGGAAGGAAACTAAAGCTCAGTGTGGACCGGTTAAGAGAAAAATAATTTCCTGGTTTTAATGAATATTTTTCTGTATGAGATACATTAAAGCAGACAAATAACCTTTAGCCTCAATACATTTTAAAGGTATCTAATACTACAGAATGTTGCTATGCAACCTTTTATTGCTTATCTCTCTTCAGAAACATTTCATAGTTTTTGCACCTAAAGATTCATAAGAAGCATGGATCATTTTACAGTGCAGTACAGTATGACTACAATCCATCCCAGATTTTTTTCATACCACCGATGAAACAAACAAATATGGGATACAATAAAATGAGTTATGGACTGAACCAAATTTTGGTCCCTAAACGATACTAAAATTTGTAATAGCATTGCTCAGAGCAGAGTCAAAGGCAACATAAACATAAGTGAAGGCAAACATGAATTTAACAGTTGGAGATCTCCAATACAAACTGGCATCTTCAGCATACAAAATGCTGAAAGCTGCCATTCAACATTGCTTGCATTAATCTGACGAACTGGCAAAGAAAAACCTCCTCTAAACAGCAAACTATAATAAAAAAGTTGCCCAAATTTGACTTGAACTTCATCTGAATGACAATTGCAACCTTGTCTTATGGTTACAGGAAATGAAATGTGAGCTTTTTGGACATCATCAAGTATTACGTTTGGGGTAAAAAGGGCAGGGCTCATGTTAAGAAAACGATCATGCCCACTGTGAAATCTTTCATGAATTTATCATGCTCTGGTGTTGTATTGAATCTACAGTTCCTGGAACCCTTGGTGAGATAGATGAAGTCAGGAACGCCAACATGGAACATGTCAACCTGGCTGGTCACCTGGTTCCCTCTGTCAGAAAACTCAAGCTGATCCTAGAATGCACATCCTAGCATAATCCAAAACAAATTAACAAAGAATGAGTCAACAGCATACAAAATAATTGTTCTCCATTGGCCATCGCATACCATGCATCTCCATACATCAATCCAATCAGACATTAGTCCTTTGAACTCCAGATAACAGCTCATAAACAGAAGCCAAAGAGTCAAAGAGTCTAGGCAGTGATTCTGCCTAGAG